AAGATATTCAGCGTCCGGTCTGCCAGGATATCTGCTGATCGTTGGAGAAATAAATTTTGTTTGTATTTCTCTATAAAATGGACACCGTAAGACAACATGCCCAGTGGTTTCCACTTCCCCAGAACCACATGGGCACAGCCTTTTAGCCAGTGGAACTCCTTTATATTTACCGTCCAGCACAGCTGTACATGACATCGGGCAAGTGAAAAGGCCCTCCGGTAGTTCACTACCTCTAGCTGCCTGAGATATCTGGCGGCAGTAGTAAATTGTTCACCTGAGTGCAGTACTACCTGCCAGTTATAACATTGAAGTCAATATACTGATCAAACAGCCATCCAAAAGTGAAACAAGTAAATAACTTAATTAAAAATAAGAAGAGCACTTTGCTGCCATCTAGCAGTATTCCTATTAATTTCCCTCTGAGGCCAGTCTTTCAAAAAGTTACTAAATAATCCCAATCCTCAATTGGCCAATAGTTAACTATGGTTAATTACAGTTTCGGGTAGTCATGTTACAAGCATTATGGAAACATGCTATGCTGATCCATGAAGTGGCTGGGTGTTTATTTTAATATTTTTATTTGCTAGGTTAGGCACTTTCAAGGGAATCAAGGAATCCCATAGTTCTGTTTATTTCTTCTCTTTTCTCTGAAAAATATTTAATAAGATCGAAACCCTTATTACCTTGGTGTATCCTCTTCCTTTATTTTCTCATTCATTTCTAATGTTATATTTAATTTTAAGAAAGTTTAAATAATCATAATGCTTGTAACATGACTACCTGAAACTGTAATTAATATTGATAGAATATCCACTTATCTATATTCAATACTCTAAGGCATCTAAATAGCAGAATATTAAGAATTTAAGTATATTATATAAATATCATTGTACTGAAATAATATACTGTGTTAAAACTGAGAAGATGGAGTAATAGATGCCTATTTGGGTCAATTTAATAATATGTTAAAGTTTGAGCTATATTAATACTTTATGGATATATACTTTCTTCAAATGTCACTCATTTAATTACCATTTTGTATATACTTTTTTGCAATATTTTGCTTTCGGTTGTACTTCATCATATCTTCTAGTTGTTATACTTTACCAATACAATATTTAAATGTTTAAAAAATATTTTTTTACTGTAAGCTGTGGAGCAAAGGTATCATGTCTTCCTGTATAAAGGGCTGTGCATGTTAATTCTACCGTACTTCATAAATGCTAATCATCAAAATCCACGCTCATCAAAAATGTGAGAGTTGCTCTATTTGTAGCATCTCCTCTAAATTTAAACATGATATTCCGTACTTCTCTTATTTTCACCCATCTCTTACCTGGAATAATTTGACTGAAGAACAAGACAGCAGCAAAAAGAAGGAAAAGGGTCTTCATGGCTGAAGGCTGATGTTGTGCTGATCTGTTGCACTGTAGGAGAGTTTGAAGGCTGCTTGAAGTTCTTTAGCAAAAGAAGGGGTCTCCCTCTATATAAGACTTTCAGAGAACTATGACATCATGAGGGTTGAGAAAACCTTAACAACATATTTTGGGAAACCCAGTTTATTTCATTTCTAAATGCAAGGGTGGTATTGCAAAATGTCCCTCTGTTAGTCTGATGTAATGTGCCAATTGCTTTTGACCATGGAGTACAGCCAGATGAATGAGGTAGCTTTTGCCAGATACAGAAGACTACTTCTGGGAAGGGGTTGTGATGCCAGAGAAAGGTCACACAGTCTCAGCTCTGCTACCCTTGAATCAGATTGGGATGGGGGGGCCTTTGAGGCTTATTGTCATAAACATTCCTTAGCTTCCCAGGTTATCATTAAGCTCTATCTAGTAAGAATTTGGAGGATTTTTCCATTCCTCCTCTACATCTGTTTGGGTGCTACATATTATTACATCAAGATTTGCAAAGGACATTTGTACTGCACAGAGATGCCACAGACCACAGGAGCATAATCTGATAATCCAGAGCTGAGTGTAGCCCCTGAAAGTCTTGGATATGTTATTTATGACCCCTAACTCCTTAGGTTGCCACTGAATTGCATTTTCAAAATGACAGGAGAAATTATGCAGTATGTGAGGACCTATTACATTAACTGTATTGAATTGAATCAAATATAAAATCAAATGTCATTGTCCTATTGTTATACTTCTTTTTTCTTGGACCCTAACCCAGGCTGGCCCTCAACCTGAAAAAAAATGTGTGCTACCTGGCCTTAAAATTAGGATCCTCAGTATACTGCCAGGTGATACCAACCTATCCATGGATATACATTGATGCCTACCAGGCTGCAAAAGATTGAAACCCAGCATTGTCTTTATTTCCCAGAATGCCTCAAGGCCTCAACAAGTCCCTATAACTTTTCTTAGAAAATGAACATGATGGATAGCTACAACTTAATGTGTTGGTTAGAACAGTGCTTCTTAAGCTGGGCAGCCACCTGATGCATAGAATTCAAATCCCAGATTTCCTCAGCCAGCATAGGCTGATTCTCCTGCACTGAAGCATGAAAAGGGTTTCTTTTCATATTTGTCTGAATAGCAGTGAGGCCTCCTGTCCCTATGCCCACCTTTAACCACCCCCACCCACAAACACTAAGGGGATGAAATCAGTGAAAGGAATCCATTACACTCTCTTGGCAATTTGCCTTCCACTCTGATTCCTATGCATAATTTTGTAAATCAAAACAAAAATCACACCACTTTGCCATTTTACCACTGGAGTTGAATAGTATGATCTCAGGTGTTGGGAGGCCACATATAGGCCACAGATTGCCTATCCCTCATGTCTGAGTTGGTAAAATATTCTCTTCCAGCTTTCTTCAATCGTCAGTGCTTCCTGGAATGGCCATCTCCCTACACAGCTTCTTAAAAGTTAAAATCTAATCTCCATCCAACTCCATGATAAGGAGTCATATACCCCTGACTCAAGTTACAAAGCATGCCCTGAAGCACTGAAATCCTCAAGGAAGTAATATTTATTATTACTAACACTAATGCTAACAAATGGTAACAGCTACTCAAGGTACCACAGTAGGATCCTGGAAAAAATAGTTAATGTATACTCTCAAATTTTCTGAGATAAGGTTGCCTACGATTTTCTTTAAAATGAACAATATATCATACAGTGATTCCTCTCCGCCTCCCACCTCCTCAGAAAGGACTTCATTTGGGCTACTATTTAACCTGCCATGGATCTACTGGGAATGAAAGACCTAAATTATGGCATTGTTCTTTTTGCAACTGAAGGTAAAACTAGACACCAGTGGAAGTTAAGTACCATTGTGGCTCTGTTTTGAGCTTCCTGACAGAGAAGTCTGGTCAGTGGCTTTGGCAAGCACCATACATGATATAGTCTTGGCTCATTAAATGAGATAGAATTCCAGACAAGAGTTGATCTTATTCTGAACTCCCCCATCTCCACATTATTCTCCTGTAGAGAATGAGCAAGCTGTATTCGCTTGGGCAGTCAAAGCAAGGCAAGGCAGGCAAGCCCCCTCCCAAGGTTCACCCACTACCAAAAAGCTTATTGAAGAAGTAGGGAGGGAGAGATTATCTCTGCAGCCCTGCCTTGCTGATAAAACATATCTGATAGCAGGTATACAAAGGAGATGACCCACAGCCCAAATAGTTGCTTGGGACTCCTAGCCTCACAAAGAAGGAGGGGAAAAGATGGGGCTTGCCCAGGCAAGCCTAGTAGGAGACCCCCTTTAGCTCTTCCCTTGCTGATTAAAGCCTTTGGGCTGAGATTAAGGAGAGAGAGAAGAGATGCCTATGAGATTAGGGGAGATGTGAGAGAGATCAGAGAAATGGAGTGGTTCTCTGTAGGAGGAAAGGGCAGCCTTGGAGGAGCACCCAGGTGCTGGAGAAGCACTCAGGAGACAAATATGGAGAAAGGCATTGCCCAGAGAGTGGAAGGCAACATGTCCAGTTTAATGGAGTAGTAAACTGCCCAGATCTGGTAAAGGCATAGCTAGGTTTCTATGGGAAAGGAAGTCCCAGGAGCAAGGTTAAGTTGCTCCAGAAGTTAACTGGAAATCTGCAGAAAGCAATATTTATCATGGTAACCATTGCATCACAGAGTAATAAGCTATAAAGCTTATGCACAATTTGTCATAAATCAATTTAAAAATGATTGAACAGTATTTCTCCCCTTTGGCTTTTTTGTTGTTTGTTTGTTTGTTTTGCTTTGTTAGAGAAAAAGGCTGCCTAAAGAAAAATAGCTCCAAAACGTGTTCTCATCTCCAGACCACCAAGACCTCCATGCAGGAAAGGCATTAAGAAGGGCTGACCCACAAGTAACTGGACTTCTTCTCTACTCCTGTTAAGCCATGCATACTCCAGAATACTGCAAAAGAGCCATTGTCCTCATATACCAAAAGGGGGGTTGGGCAGTATAGTTGTATTCCTGTTATACACGGTGTAGTTTGGCTCACCCAGTACGGGAATCCATAATGTGGCTTACTGTATTTGGTCTGGGCCTTGTATACTGTGTCAGTTAGCCAATATGGTTTATTCAAAAACCCTGGTTAAACAAAGTATGATTAGTGACTCCAGTCTATAACTGACCTCAGTTAGGATGAAGCATTCCACCTCCATCTTCTTGCTTGAGAAATTTCTGGCATAAGTATATCTATGGCAATATGTCATCTTTCCAAACATATTTTGGAAGTGCCTTTTTCCCCACCCCTGTTTGCCTATTTTATTTTTGCTAAATTGTACTTGGTCTCTAGAGGACCTGGATTATTCTCAAAATCAACTTTTAGAGATGAGTCAACTCTAACGCAATGTTCCAGAGCTCCTGTTCCCTATCCGCTCCCACAAAAAGGCAGTCGATGTGTTTTCTATCAGCTCTTTGATGCCAAGCCCCAGAAGGAGGTGTGGAGGGTAAATTCCATGTCCCAACACCCTTTAAAAAAATATTGTTGCTTATTTTTTTATCACTGGGACTACTGT